TGCAAAATTTTTAGTTTATTAGATTGAATAACATGTTTCAGCAAACACTGATGATTATTATATTGATTAGATGTTCTCAAAATACGTGGGTATATTTATAAATTGGCTTACTCTCTCTCTCTCTCTCTCTCTCTCTCTCTCTCTCTCTCTCTCTCTCTCTCCTCTGTCTATATCACATCACAGGTACTCATGCAGTCATGGCTGGCTGCGTCCTATCCAGTGAGACTAATGAGAATTCAAACGTGCACTTTCTAAACCCGGGAAAGCGTTGCCTGAAGGAAAAATTCACCTCGGAAATCAAGAGCAGGCTCATTCTTGAAGTTGGTAACATATCCCTAACAAGACGTCGTAAACTGCAGCATTTTTGCTGTTTGACTCAAATGCAATTTGATATTTTTTGTTGTTGCATGTATCATATAATAGAATTAGTAATATTGATAATGATGATAATGATAATCAAAATAATTAAACAAGTTTAAAATCTCCACCACTGAGCTTCAAAACGTTATTAGGGACAAAGCCTCCCCCCGCCCCCTGAGATTTGGCTACTAAAACATTGTTCTGAAATGTCTCTTTATGAGCCAGACGCCTTGCATTTGCTGTTTCGTCCTTTCCTGTATAGGTCTGCAAGCTGCACCTGGCCCGTGAAGCCATTAAGTATGCACTAATTATAATTTCTTTCAAGGTTGAGCAGGGTTTCTGGGTTCTGCCTTGTAGGTCAGCCGTCCTGTCTTATTTTCATTTTCAGAGTGGTATGGTAACAGATCGGAAGGGATCGATCTATTGCTGTTGCCATCTCACAGCAAGTATTTTAAATGTTATCCTATTTATGTTATCAATTTTTTTTTTTCTTTATGCTATATATATCCAGCAGCCGGGGTCTAGCGGCTAGACGCTCGTCTGTGGATCGAAAGGTAATAAGTTCGGATTCCGACAAAAGCCGGAATTTTTTCAAAAATGACGGCTCCGAGATAGACCCAGCCTTGTGTGGGTACCAGGTACCATACTGGGAAGTAAAGAAACTATGGGGGTGACTGCAGTCAAGCTAATACAATGAATTCCAGAGAAATTTGACTAATTGGCTCAACAAAATGGGAAAGAGGAAAACGTGCACAAAACAACACAACGTAACGTTTCGGCCAGGCAGCCTTTTTCAAACACAAGTCATTTCAGTTTAATGTTTTGGGAAGTAAAGGCGGCCGGCGTGATGCTGACCACATCACCCACCAAGTGCTGTTTGGCTTATAAAATGTATGTTTGGCCCTATATACCCAATACGCTTGAAAGCGTGGACAGGGGACCTTTTTACTTTATGTTCTTACTGTGTGTGTGTATGTATAAATATATGTATATATATATATATATATATATTTATTATATATATATATATATATATATATATATATATATATATATATATATATATATATATATATGGGCAGGATTTAATTTTTTAAATGTATACAAGTAAAGTAAAGTAAAGGACCATTTTCCATGACTTTTTATAGACCAGTCAGCACAAGATGGGTGATGTGGTCAGTATCACGCCAGCCACCTTTACTTCCCGGGACTGAACCCGATACCCACTTAAGGCTGGGTCCACCTGGGAGCCAAGATCATTTCTGAAAATAGTCTGGCTCCGCCAGGGTTTAAAATGTATACGCGTTTTAAATATAAAGATAATGGAAATACACTGTCGTTTAACTTTTATTTAAAGAGATAATTAAGAAAGTGCAAAACCCCAGACATTTTATCATTCAATCCTCAGTAGGCTATATGCTACAACAAACCATTTATTTTTTTTATTTTCCCAAATGTAAAATAATTTGTCTTGACTTATATAAGGCCAAAAGCTGATTTTTCTATTCAATTCACTAAGGTTACAAGTTAGAGTAAATAGAAGCCTTAGATAATATACCCAAAAAGTATATATAAGAAAATGTATTATGAATTAATGAATAAAATAACTGCATTTAAAATATACTAAATGATAATTTCAATTGCGGTTTGAAAAAAATAAAATAAAAAACGAATTTGTGTAGGCTCCTTAAGATTGTGCCGCCGTAGGTTTGGGCTACTTGTACATAAAATAAAAAAACACATACACACAATATATATGTATACACACACACGCGCGCATATAAATCAACGTTTTTAGTATGTTTATGCCTACTAAATTGGTATATTCTTTGTCTCATATCTGTTGATACCAACAGTTGTTGGGACATTTCTTTCATTTCATCACCTTGAATTTATCCAATTAAATGTTTAAAGAATTTTTAAAGCCTTGCTTTCGAATACATTTAAGCTTTGTTCTATTTATTTAGTGGATTTCTAGCTTTCATTAGTAAATGATATCACACAAAGAACGTTGAGCTATTGAGCCTTCATCAGCACATACACATTAAACAATACTACATAGATACACAAAATCACTTAGCTGGTATCTCGATGCAGCCAGGTCGGTGGTTACTCAGCAGAATAAACGCACGTCTGACTG